CTGCTTGGTCTCCCTTAACTGGCTCCCCCCCCTGCTGGCCTGATTGCTCCTAACTACCTCTGCATGCCAGCCCGATCACCCCCAACTGACCACCCTCTGCTGGCCTGGTTGCCTCCAACTGCCCCCCCCTGCCTGCCTGGTTGCCCCTCACAGCCCACCCCCCGCTCTGCCCATGCTGGCCTGGTTGCCCCATGCAGCCTGCTTGCTCAGTTATTTGGTCATCCCTTATTAACTCCCCTGCGGGCCTGGTTGCCCAATGCAGCCTGCTTGCTCAGTTGTTTGGTCATCCCTCACTAACCCCCCTGCCGGCCTGGTCATAGGTAGCCATCTTGTGAGGGTGTGAGGGTTAATTTGCATATTAACGCTTTATTATATAGGTTTCTACAAGGTGTAATACATTCTGTTGCTCAATCAAATGTGATTAATAGGATTACCCCAGGAGCAGGAGATTAGGGAGTGTTCTTCTGAAGTTTGGGGATGGTTTGCCAAGGGTGGTTATGTTTATAGTGAGACCCACACATGAGGAGACCCTCCCTCAGCTCCTGTTCTTGAAGGTAATGCAATTGATCAGAGAATGACTGAGCATCAGCATGTATTGCTCTCTGTTTTACAAAAGGGACATATTGCATTTCCAATGACCACATGAAGTACGGAGCACAAAATATACAGGTGTGATATTCTGACTGTGGACTACAGTGTTAGGACACAGAGGAGGGGAGAGGAGATGACTAATTTAGCCTGCAGGTGTATAATAAATTGGTGAATGTTGAGTTAATGGGATTGCCCTCCACACTCAGGTAGGGATTTTCAAATCAGTTGAAGGCCTGAAAAGACCAGTAAGAGGGACACCACCTCCCCCTTCCCACCCCAAAAAGGAGGGAATTCTCCAGCAGACTGTCTTCAGACTTCAAGTGCAGCACTTGCTCTCCTGGGCACCAGTATCCCAGCCTACCTGCAGGTTTTGGACATGACAACCACCGTAATCACATGAGCCAATACTCTGACTCTTCTTTGTCCCCTAAAAACAGGACACCCTCCCTGTATCATTAGATAGAGAGACATCCTTCACACCAGACATAGGGAATTTAGAGCCAAGAAGGCTGAATAAACAAACCTTGTGACTTTATTATTAATTTACTACTCCAAGACCAAACTCTTGTCTTGTCAATTCTTCACAAATGTGTTGTTTCTTTGTCAAAAGGTATAAAAGCTGCTACTTTGGTCACTTCAGAGTCTCATTTTCTCTGAGCACCCCTTTGTGCCAAATTAAAAATTGCTTTTCTCATTTAATCTGTCTCATGTTAACTTAATTATTAGAGCAGTTAGAGGAACCTAGAAAAGCAGAAGAGAAATTCTTCTCACACAACAGTAGGAAGGGCACCACCATTTTCAAGAAGCTCAGTGATGGCTGTCCTGATGGGCGGGCTTGACAGGTGGAGATGGTATTCCAGAAATGGGCTCCAGTAGTAATGGGGCTAATAAAAAATGTCCTGAAATAATACATTAGAGATACAGGCGTTCAACTGTCACAAGCAGGCAGAGGGCCATTATTGAAATGATCAGAAAGGTTGGATGCCGAACAAGGGCCTGGCCATTAGGTCAGCTAGGCCCAGTAGCCAGGCCCAGAAAGCTGTCCCTTTGACTCATAGAACACAGTGATCCTAGAGACAAAACAGAAGGAGAGCCAGCCCAGAGAGTGCTGGATGTAAGTAATAAAATCAAAGACAAAACACAAGGATAAATACTTGGGAGGCTAAAAGCAGCCTCCCTAGAAAGAGGCTGGCTCTTTTGCCAGTTTTGAGAACTGAGCTACTTCTGAGACCTGTAAACCATTACTAGAAGGAGAGGCCCAGTTCCCATGAGGAGGGACCCTTCAAGCTGACATGTGGCCATTGACTTGGCTAAATGTACACCGGGAAACAGAAATCACCCAGACATTCACATTGGATCCAGTGTGTCAGTTGACATCATTTCCAGATACCAGAAGCATCACCATTGGTCCTGTTATGAAAGTGGTGCACGTGGTTGGGGCCCAGGTAATGAATAGACATCTGTCCCAGGCTCTGCTCACAGTGGTGTCTTCTCTTTCCTCCAAATAGATTGTTCAAACAGTATCTTTTCCTCAATGAAATAATATGGAAGAGTACTAATCTTAAACCCTCTGTAAGGATGCGGTGGTGTGATCCCTTTCCTAGCTCGATTATGTTTCCAGCCTGGTCAGAAGACGTTCTATAGATGGTATATATCACATATGTCAGGCTTTGCAGATCAGAAGTCTGTTGCAACTACTCAGCTCTGCTGTTGTGGCATGAAAGCAGTGATAGACAATACTTGATTGGGTGAATGTGGCTGGATCTCATTCTTGGTCCATCAAACCCAGCAAACCTATGATCTGAGAGGTATCTGTAGTAGACAAGGTGCTAAGGGGACTTCATGGCCTTCCTACTCGAGGATCACAGCAGAGACCCCTAATGTTCTTAAGGAAGGCTATGTCTCTTGCCAAAAGGAGACCCTCACCATTCAAAGAGTCTCCTGGTAAAGTACTGGGACCTGGGAGAGATGAGGCCTCTGGCTATGGGGCATTAGAGTTGTCCATTGTGAGTGTCATTAGGTCAGCTAGGCCCAGCAGTCAGAGAATAGAAGTGAGCAGGGTCACAGGGAATATCCTATATAATAAAAGGGTAATATGCTAAAAAGATAGAGCAGAAGTCATTTGGGACCTCTATCCTTCCTTATGGACCTTCCAGCTTTTCTGGGTAGGTGGCTGCTGCAGGATCCAGGAAGGCGCTATTACTGCGAGGGAGGTACCTGGCCCAGGCAGCTGGAAGCCTACCCGCCTGCCCAAGGCTGCCAGGGAGGGAGCCAGGCAGCCACCCTGGGTTAGGGGTGATCAGGAAGGCAGGCAGAGTGGTTAGAGGCAACCAGGCAGGCAGGCAGGCAGGCAGGTGAGGAGTTAGGAGCTAGAGTTCCCGGATTGTGAGTGGGATGTCCAACTGCTGGTTTAGGCCCTATCTCGCTAAACCAGCAGTCAGACATCCCCCAAAGGGTCCCGGATTGTGAGAGGTCACAGGCCAGGCTGAAGGACCCCCACCCCCATCACACAAATTTCGTGCATCGGGCCTCTATTGTAAGATATAAAGAGAGATGTCCCTGATTTCCACACCAGAAATGTTGCACCAGCACTACCCTCAGGTTGCACCGATGACTTCCTGCAGGGTCTCACAGGACGGAGTGGAGCAGTTGCCAATTGCTGCATGATCCACATTCCTCACTGATTCTACCCAGAAGCTACAGTTCAGAACTGGACAGTGATAAGTTCTGGCTCTTCAACACTGAGGACAAATTGGATGGGACACCCATATCTGTGACACACTACGTACTCTAAATGTTGGGTCCACAAAGTAGTACAGTGGCCATATCTGGTCCCCCATTTCTTTGCATGTGGTCTCTGGCTGCTATGGCACCATGAAGGTGGAGGTGTGTGGTATATACAGAGACAGGCCCTAAGTGGCCTGCGAAGATGATAACATTCACCATCTGTCAGTTTATAGAGACCATCAGCAGACGTGAGCCAAAATCCATGACCATCACATGCTGTGCCTCCTCAGTAGGTGGAAAATATGGGTTTGGACCCCAAAGAATTGGGCGGTAAAACGGGTTGAGCTGGGGAGAAGAGCAGTCACCATGAGGGCAGGTGTCTGAAATGAGTGCCTGGGGTTGCAGGTTCTGTGATCCCTGGAAGAGTTCGCTTTGAAGTTCTGGGTGAAGAGAAATGGTTCTGATGGAGGGTTTGCTGTGTGTGGCCAAGTGTGGGAGCAGGGAAGGGGCAAGGGTTGTGTTGGATCCTGTGGGTGGAGACCCTGCCGAACACCCCTGTCCTGATAACACCTCTTGTTCCTGCTTCCCCACATGTGCGCTGCTGGAGGAAAGGAGGGGTCCTGGGTGGAAAAGTGTGTTGGGAGAGGGTGGGGTGTGGGTGGTTTTGTGGGTGTCATCAGGCAGGCTCGGTATTCAGGAGGCATCTCTCCTCTTCCCCTCTGGGCTGCGGGTGGTGGGAACGGTGGGGTAGAAAGTGGACTGGGAGTGTGTGTCTGTGGTGTCGTCCCGGTGTTACAGAAAAACCCGAGAAGAACCAAGCAACGCTTAGAGAGATGGAGTTACATTTATTATTATTACATGCAGGCCCAGAGGAAAAGGTCTCTCAAGTTCTGGGTGAAATCACACAGGAAGTTTCCTGTATTTATACCTTTTTACCCCTTTTGTCTCCCAAATATGGGGTTTTCTGGTCCCCTTTGCACTTCTTAAAGAGCCCCTATGTGTTGGGCGGGGCTTTGAGACCTCGACCAAAGGCTTGGCCTGGTGCCAGCACTGATAACTTTGGGGAAGGTTTAATGGCCTCTCTGAAATGGGAGTAGTCTTATTTTCCTTATTATTTAAGCCAGCAAGCATTTACAGAAGCCAAAATGCAGGGTTAAAATTTCAAACAGCAGTTTTTATATAAGATGGATGCTTCACTGGGAGGCTGCTTTGGGGAGGACTAGACAAAATTGTCCTCGAGAAGTCAGAGAAAACGCGGGAAGGCGAGCGGGGCAGGGAGGAATTGGCGGGAAAAAGTGGTGCCGGTCCCCCGGTAGGTGGCGGCACATGGCCGGAAGGACCGGCCCAGGCGTGAGGCTGGGATTCCATCTGCGCTCATTCACTGCGGGCACTTGTTCGCGGGGCGCCTCCGGTCCACGCTCCTCGGCAGGAAAGCGACAGCTCGGAAAAGAGCGGGGAGGAACGGTCTCGGTCTGGGACACTTTTCCCCGGCCCTCTGCGCGC